GACTTTCACAGAAACTTAAGAATGAACAGCTTTTTTTTCCATACACAAGACTTCTACTCTGCATAGTTTATGAATAGAAAAGTAACTTCTCTGAATCCTCATGATCATCTTTTTATCTTCTCCTTCCTTCCTTCCTTCCTTCCTTCCTTCCTTCCTTCCTTCCTTCCTTCCTTCCTTCCTTCCTTCCTTCCTTCCTTCCTTCCTTCCTTCNCTTCCTTCCTTCCTTCCTTCCTTCCTTCCTTCCTTCCTTCCTTCCTTCCTTCCTTCCTTCCTTCCTTCCTTCCTTCCTTCCTTCCTTCCTTCCGACTTCCAAAGTACTTCCAGAATATATATGAGTTCTTTTCCTTTTTTTCTCTTCCTTTCCTTTTTTTTTTCCCAACAAAATAGCTTAAATATGCAGATATTCTTTATTACAGGAATGACAACAATGGAAAGTTTGTATTTAAACTCACATTTTCAGTTTGCAAATATGCAGAGATTCACATTGGACTCTTTTTTTGTTCTGTTGTCAATTATGATGTTGTCTCTCTATAGTATGATCCTTTATTTCTCTTCTCTAGCAGTGTGTCAAGGCTAAGAAGTAGTGCTTTATACAGCTGATCTAGGGTGTGGAGTTTAAAGAGCATTTTCATTTAAAGAGTGTACCTTTTTTCTCCATTCATTATCTCTTACTCTACTTACTTGCACTGTCCGAGATAAAAAAAAAAAAGTATATATGATGACAGTCTTTTTGTCTTACATTTACTACTTTGCTGTTACTGGCTGCACAGCAACATGGTCTAAATTCGATCGTAATTTCTAGAGAAAAAAGTCAACATTTTCAGTCATTACATAAAATATTTATGTTTGGTGTACCCTGGCACTGACTCTAGACGTGGCCTTTGTAAACTTACTAAAAATAYTCAGCAAATTTGCTTTTGTGGTTAACTTTCTGCATCTGAATGCATAGACTATGTCTTTGCAGAGACAGTTTCAGTTGTCTGATAAGCACCTTTTCGTTTGTCAAGTTACATCTATTTAATGGATCTCTAGACAGATCTGAGAGCTATTAAGAGTCTGACTCTTTCATGTCTTTTACTTTCTCATATATGTAAACTGCTGCATATAGGCTGGTTTGAACATCTGGTACTTTTGAAATGGTTGCTTTCATCTCCATGTTCACCACTAGATTTACCACTAAATTACCTAGACTATTTTGTAATGGATATATAAGTTTCCTTTTGTTGACATAGTGACATATTATGCTCTTCCAAATTCCACCTTCAGCTTATGATGGATGCATTCCTGGGCTGAATCATTTATTTGCCAAATTCTATGTGACTCCACAGATACAATTAATTTTGTATCACTGTCACGTCCAGACAAACAAATATGATTTAAAATGACTACTATCTGGAACTGGTGTACATTATTTTCTATTCTATTTCGATAAATAGCTTCATAATCTGCAGCCTTCTTTTGCCCTTGTTGCTCCRGACTCTACAATTCTGTTGATAAGTATTTATGGTCAGCATCTCTCCAACAGCATTGACAAGTATCACTTTGTCCATCTTCTTCATGCACGTTTAACTACATGTATTTCATTGTATCTAGCAGTCGTTTACATTTGTTGTTTTTTATCATTCCTCTTAAACATAAGAAAGTTTTGCTGTTGGTTCTTTTTCAAACTATATTATTTTCCTTTACTTAAAACAGTGATTTTTTCATCATTGTTCAAGTTCTTGACAGTGCTTAGAATTTGAAAATGACTGTGCATGAGAGGGTTCAGATTCCTGACACATCATTACCTTAGTTCTTGGGTCTTTTAAAGTTGGGTGTGTAATATCTGTGCTTGCAGAGAAGGACCTTGGGCTCTGTCACTGTTTATATCGAAGCCTATAGAAATTAGTGTTGGAAAGAATAAGTGAATAATTGAATATGTTATTAACCACACAGATGATCAGTAACTTCATGTAAGTCAGAACAAAGGGGCAGTAATTTAAATAAAATTGATACCGGAGCTCCTATTGCTTAAATAAACTGCCACTCTGCGTAGAAGTTTCTCTGATAATGATACTGTCATGATGATAATACAGAAGGATATCCTCCCCTCCATTCATAAGGAATAAGCTTCTCTTCACTGTTTAAAAATTCACTTCTTATTGTAATTGCACAGTGTTAGGAACCACTATCTAGTCTGTCACCCTCAAGTCTATGACAAAGTAGTAATTCCTAGTCCTTCAGGACTACTAATGTGGAGAGGTGGAGAATTGCATATGCTATACTCTTTTTGAACAAATACAGTACAGCATTATGTATACAATTTTGTACTGTTCTTTGAGCCTAATGTCTTATATATTGAACTACTAATGAAGAATTATTACTACGGCATTTGACACTGTCTCCCACTGCCTTCTCCAGGAGACGCTGGCTGCTCGTGGGTTAGAGGTGAACTGTTTGCTGGGTGAAAAACTGGATGGATGGTTGGGGCCAGAGAGCGGTGGTGAATGGCGTTAAATCCAGGCGGCCACCAGTCATGAGTGGTGTTCCCCAGMGGTCAGGGTGGGGAACAGTCCTCTTTATCTAAATGATTTGGATGAGGGCATTGAATGTACCCTCATCACATCTACACATGATACCAAGCTGAGAGGAGGAGTTGATCGGCTTGAGGGTTGGAAGGCTAGAATGATAGGCTGAGGCCAACCATATGAGATTCATGCACAAGGCAATGGAGAATGAAAGGCCCTAACAGCATTGTCTCTTTTSTCTTTATTAGGAGAAGTTTGGTATTAGGGAGAGAAAGAGTAAAGGCCAAGGAGCAATTCAGTATGTGAAAATATGAAATGGGCTCGTTTTGAAACTACCTAGGAAATAACATCAATCTACACCAAAAATAACAGCCACAGTTTTTATTATTTTCTTTAAAGCAGATGTTTTTCAGAAGTCTTCTAAATGCCAAATTCAGTTCTGGCTATGCTTTTTTTTTGCCATGCAACTTAAAATGATACAGGCAAGTATATTCTTGGTTGCCCCAGTTGCTCACTATATTAATTTTGATATATTGAAAGGCTTTATGAAGCTCATTCTGTAAAAAAAAAAAAAAAAAGAAAAAAAGGAAAAGGGTAAGAAAACGGTATTATTGGCATAGAAACAGCAAAACAGCAATTAGTGTATGTCCCTCTGCCATCTGCCGTCACTGATTCTACTAAAGGAAATCACATGCCCTGCCATTGGTCAGTCCCCCTGTCCCCCAGGCAGGCACTGTGAACACTTGCTCTGCTTGACATATTCCTCTTTGTTGTTGCACACATACTCCCACTGTACCTTCAGGAGAAAAAACTGCACGGGCTCCTTGTCAATGTCAAACTGGAAGGTCCCGAGTTGAGTCTCTTCACCCCCCTCATCCAGGCCCTCAGAGACAAAGCACAAGGGCAACATGTCAGGTGTGACCAAAGGAAGTGGAAACACATACATCGCTCCAAGAGTTGTTATCTGCCCCTCCTCTCCCATGCTTTGAGCAGGAGCCTGGTACAGCTTATGGTGCAGCTAACTCTCCTCCCCAGATGCTTGCCCAAATCTGGAAAGGCATGAAGTCAGCATGGTGCTTTAAAGAGCCCCCCTGTTGGCACTGCCCTGTGTGCTCAGCAGAGRGCAGCACAGAAATGCCAGCAGATGTGCAATGACAAGCAAAACTTTGCTATTGCTCTTCCCGATAGCCACAGGCACCCAGAAGGGCCTCACAGAGACTTACAGAKATGCTGATATCTTTTGGGGAACTGCTGATGGTATCTGCAGAAAGCATCTTGGAGATGTGCTCAAAAGTGRCTGCTCTGGGCCAGATCCTTGCAGGCAGGCGAATGACTATTTGCCCATTAGAACCAGGGAAGGCCCAGAATTTTCCTGGTGTCATCTCAGGCTGAAAGCAGAATGCAACAGGAAGTAACAGTGAGGGAGTGATAGGAACAACACCACAACTCCCGTGACTAGAAGCATAAGCCCCTTTTTGTGTACACGTTATAATTCTGCTCAGAAATAAGAAGCACAGGGGAGGCTGTGGAAACTAATCTGAGGCCTTCGTGCCACCAGCTGAAGGGTAGAATYCTCTGGGTTTTGTTCCCACTTGTACATGATGAAACCAAAGCGATATGGAGGATTTTRGCTACAATACCTGCAAAATGATATCAGCAGAAGCCGAAGAGCAAAGACATCTGAAGGTCTTGCAAAACCAATGATTTTCATATGTTGGTGATGTTCTGTCCTGGTCAATTGTGGCACCTGAAAGACAGATAAGGTCATTAACTGCAAGATGCCACAGCCCTGGCTCTTGCAGGACATTTCTAACASTCCCTCACAGCTGTGTCTCTCACTGCCCCACTAAGCATCTCGCTGTCAGAGGGTCCCATGTGCCCAGGGAAAAGAGGTCTTGCTGGGCCTAGCCACTGCTGTTTTCTCACAGCAGCAGGAAAAGACAGATTTGCAGGTACCAAAAGACAATAAAACCCGGGGTAAAGATGGCAGAGTAGAACTGTGGTCCTGCTCTGTGGAGAGCAAACCATATCCTTTTGGTTGAGAGAAGGGCTCAGTGGAGAGGAGGAGAGTTTCTCTATTGGCACACAAAGTTTGTTGGGCARTGTCAGAGGCACCCACATGGAAACCCAAGGCAGGACTGGGCATGGGAGAGCCCCTCTGCCACAGCCTTGCTCATGGACCCCATGTGTCCTTTCATTTCCCTCCACCTTTGTGAGCAGGGTCTACTACACAGCCTCTCTTTGTACACAGGAACAACACAAGAAGACTGTGTTCTAACCAGCACTTTTCAGGGCCCAGTCAGGCAGCTCAACTGCTTCTTCCAACGCAGCATCAAAGAGAGTCTCTCTGATCTGAAGCATTTCCTGGTAAAGACAGAAGCAAAACCAAGAAACCACCACCTCTGCAGTAGGACTAGCAGTCCCAGCACAGAAGAAAGGAGAGAGCCTGGGCCAGAGAATGCCCCATCACCTGGTGCAAAGACCTGAAAGACTCTATGCTTTCTAAAGTCTTTCAATGTCTTCACAGGATTCTTGCCTTCACTAAAAAATAAAATTACTTTCACAAAAGACAGTATCACCTGCTTCATGAGGCTGATCTCTGAATATAAATGAGCCAGTTCTTCCTTTAGGAGATTCATGTGATGCTCTTGCTGTTTCAGTAGAGTCCTGAAGTCCCTGCAGACAGCAAGCAGCAGCTATTAAAAAGCTGTCCAGCCCCAGTGGGGAGTATGCCAAAAGACAGAAATTTGCTCACTCTTTGGCCTTGAGATCTGGGCCCAACCCTTTCAGCATCTCCTGAAAGGGAAGAGCTTTCCATCAGCAAAGGTGCTACAACTACCCGGCTCTCCAGCRGATGCTACTTGAGGAAAGCCCAGCAGAAGTTGCGGCTTCACTCTGGCAAAGGAAAGCTTTGACAAGCTTCCCTCTGCAGAGAATGGGAAGATGTGGGGATGTATCCAGCACCTCTCCTTGGCAGGAGTTACCTGTCCTGCAGGACCTGTCACTCACCTGTAGCACTGTTTCTCCCGGAAAACTCCAGGCCAATAGGCAGAAAATATAGTGGGCACCAACTGCAATTCACAGCAAGACACTGGGTTACTAGGCTAGTGGGACCACCTTGTAGTGACCCATCTGTGGAACCCCCTGAAGCGCAGGAATGGGCAGCTGGAYCGTGCCTCAGCGGGGCCTCTCCCTCCCCTCYGTCCCTGGCACCCAGCATCTCTGTGCAACTGCTAGCAGCTCATTTCTCACAACTACTCACCAAGAACAAGAGAAATAAAGAAAACCATTTTCAAGAACTTTCCTGTTCTTGATAGAAGAAGGTTCTGCCTAGAAAAGCGGGAGGGCTGTTATTATCAAGCCCTGGGCACCCCCTTTTATAATAACATTGTTACCTAATGTCAAATCACTAAAGAAAATATTTTTGACAGAAAACTGACAGACTGGACTCCGTCAGGCACATGGCTTTTGWCAGAACCATGCATCATGCAGGTGATCTCCCAACATGTTCAGTGGAAAGAGAAAATAAGTCCCCATGGTATTTGCTTTCCTCTTTTGCTTTAAAAGCAGTTTGATTTCAACTTGAGATCACAGAGATGTTTGAGGGGCATGAGAGAGAGATACTCACATGGTGGAGACACAGATGTTCACCTTTCTCCACAGCAAGGTGGTGATGCTGGCCAGGTAACTGGTGACCCAAATGATGAACCCTGGTCAAAGAAACCAGTGGCAAGTGAGCTCTACCTGCTATGGTCCCTCCTAGGGGATTCTCAGGGGGTTTCAGCTTTGCATGGGAGGGACACACTGAGCCCCACATGCTGCCATCTCTGTGGGAAGGGTCAGCACCTAGGTCATGCCTTGGAGTAGGACACATCGGGGAGCCAAGGAGCTGCCCCCAGTCACCACAGCTAGTCCAGACTGGTTTCAGCAGCGAGTCCCGTGGTTACCACGGTACCAGAACAACATAGAGGTTGGAGGTCAATGCATAGCAGTCACCTGACTGCCCAAAACCCTCCTGTGATTTTGCAATTTTGGTTTCTGAAGGGCAGAGAGGCTGCATGGAGCCAGGCCAAGGGGACATAGGCAGAGACCCTCTCCACGTGTAGCCAGGGGATATCAAGRGATGGGCTTGCGCAGTGGGACTGCACAGCAGCACTTACCAGCCTTGTCCCCAGCACGGTCATTGGTGTTCACATTCATCTTATGGGCCGCGCTGAGGACAGCACCAGCCACCTCAGTGTCCAGCACTCCCTGGTCATGGGGCGCAGCAGAGTCTGCCTGCACCTCTCGGCGGCAGCACCGCCGCTGCGGAGTCCGTCTCTTCACCATTGCTGGGAGGAGACAACTCCCGCTGCACACACACACACACACACACACACACCCACCCCCACACACCTCACACACACACAGACTTTACACACACACACAGACCTCACACACACACAGAGTTTACACGCGCGCACACACACACACACACACACACACACAGCCTTTACACAAACAGACTTGACACACACAGACTTTTAACCCACACAGAGACACACACACAGACTTCCCACACGGTTAAGCAAAAGCGCACAAAATGCCCCCGAAGGAGCAAGCCCGCCAAGCCCAACGAGTCGCGAAAACCCGTTGAGCTCTGAGCAGCGGGCTGAGGGCTGCCTGGCACCATGGGGCTATAAAGGGTGGCCGATGGTGACCTCACAGCAGCCCRTGGTGATGTCACACTGCAAGGGGAGCCCAGGCCATTCTGTGACATAGGCAACCCTGCTGGCATTCCTAATCCACCAACTTCCGTGGGGGCCATCCCCGCTTCCCCTCACTAAGAAAAGATCACATTGTTGATCTTTTCAATATCAATCTCTGCCAGAGTCTTTTCAATATCAGTCTTTGAGCTTTCAGCTTTTGTCATTTCTACTTTCCTCCATTAACCTGGACATCTCCTAGAGGAGAAATGAAGCCTTTTAGGTCTCCTTCCCAGCTACTCTTCTCCTCCTTTCTGATACCATGAATGAGTTTCCATTCTCCGTTGCTCTCCTTACACTTACGGCATTCAAGCAAAGATCTCACTGGTTTCTAGAGCGGCAAAACACTGGGTCTAAGATTATCCCTGGTGCTGTTTCTGACTCAGAAGATGAGCAGGAGCTTGATCCAAGTTGAATATAGTGTGTAACAGGAGTCCCCAGTGTCCCTCAAAAGAGCTGGTCCTTTTCAAGCAGGACTCACCTCTTGAACTTCAGCCATGTGGCACATTTTCACATACAGCTCCCAAAGTACTGTCTCTTGAGTTTTGATAACATGTCCAGAGGTGGAAGACAGTCAACCCCTCAATGACACCTCATGCCCAACACCACAGTGCCTCCCATGGCCCAGTACTTACCTCTTTCTCTTGCCTGAGTGCAGCCTCCAGGCTGTGTGTGTTTTACTGTCTTTCCCTTGGCTTAGGCACCCAGAAGGCTGTCGCCGAGGCTTCTGCAGTAGTCATGACATTTCTGAACCTACTTCCTGATCAGCCCTCTGAAGTGCTGAAGAAGTAAGGTAGAATTCTTTAGGTACAATAAGTACCTAGGAAGGAAACTTTCACTCTGTCACACTGAGAAGCTTTCTTAAATAGGGCAGCTTAAGTGGTGTTGTATGTTGCCTCAGAAGGCATCTGCACCCCTGGTTTGGGTAAGCAGCCAGTGACTCGGCTGGTCTGAAAGGCCATAAGGGTGCTGCAAAGAGAGCTGTTTGCACCACCTCTAGACCAGAAACACTATAGAATAGCATGATGCACTTTGCTACTCCTGACATTACTTTCAGCGCTGCTTGCCAGAATCTGTGAGCCACTTGCTCAATGATCAGACGAGAAAGCTGTTTTGGTCAGGAGACTTAACTTTTTTAGCTTCCTCACGTGATTAGGACCAAAGCACAAAAACAGTTTTTGATTTTGGAGTGTCAGAAACCACTTCCTTGTAAGTGGCTTCTGTGGGTCACTAGCAGAGCCATAGCACAGTCTGAAAGAAGGGCTCAGTTGTTTGCAGAGCTCAGAGAGTGTGATCATAGGCCCTGGTTTGCATGGGGCCTTCATGCTGCTGGAAAGAAAACCTAACTTCCCTTTCATTTGTTTCTTTTTCCAAGGGATAATTTGAATAATTTTGAAATGTCAGGGTTAGTTACAGATAATATAATTGTGTGATGATGAAAAAACAGTAAAAAAATCAATATGTATGTTTATATGTATATTTTATTTGTGTAAAGACATAATAATAACACTCCATTATCAGACTACTTATTTCTAGATTCTTAGACATTCACTAGGACAGTGACATAGATACTAGCATTTCATTTCTATCAAGAAAGAAAGAGTATAACAAGATGGTATTACAAGAAAGAAAATAACCTGACATACACATGCATGCACACACACACGCACACAAAACTCTTGTGAGGTACCGAGGACTGAGCTCACACGAGAGTCCCTCGTTTCCAAGGATAGCAAAGATAATGGCAGATATGTGCCCTTATCTCCCAATGTTTTTTYACAGCTGCACACTATATTCTAGGTGCAGCCTCACCTGAGCTAAGCAGAGGGGAAGGATCACCTTCCTTGATCTGCTGGCAAGACTCCTCTTAATGGAGGCCAGGTGCATTGGCCTTCTTGGCCACAAGGTCACATGGCAAGCTAACTTGCTGTCCACCACAATACCCAAATCTCTATCCTTGGAGCTCCTTTCAGGGCAGATATTAACACTGAATCTATACAAGTGCCTGGGTTTATTCCTCCCCCAAGTACAGGAAACTCTGCTTGCCTTTTCAATCCTAATTAATTCTTCTATTTCCAGCTTATATAATCTTGCATAAAACAAACGAGGAAAATACAGGTAAATAAATCATCTATATTTTCTTTACATAGAAATTTAGTTACCTAGACAAGAACAGTATATATTTGATAAGCTTGTGTTTTATCATGAATGATAAAACATGAATATCTTCTTCATGCATGAATATTTTCTTCATATATAGCTTGATGATATCCATTTTTGAATATACATCCATATTCAAAAATATTGATGTTAAAGATCAGGAGCATTACATCCATAATGGGTTCATGTCTCATGCTGAAGCTGCTTCTGGAATCAAAAATGTATGCCTTGTTTGAAAATCCACTAAAAATTACTTCTTAGTAGAAACCTTTGCAATAATACGCTGAATAAGCATGTTGTTATTACACAGTGATATAGCTCTGACACTGCTTTGTTCTTTGTGAATGTTAAATGTTAAATGCTTAGTGTACAGAAAAAGTGAGTCTGATCAGGCCATCTGTTGTGGGAGAGAATTTGGAAAAATTCTCATTCTACCCTGTTATGGAGGATCAAAGAGCAACAGAATATTTTGTTCTCCCTTGTTCTTCTTGAAAGACGGTAACATCACAGAATCTAAAAATCACAGAATGGTTGAAGTAGGAAGGAACCTCTAGAGATCATCTAGTTCAACCTCACTGCTCAGTCAGGAAGACTAGAGCACATTGTCCAGGGTCACATCCAGGCAAGTTTTGACTATCTCCAAAGAGACATCACAGCTTCTCTGGGGGCAGCCTTTTCTGGGCTCTGTCACCCTCACAGTCAAGAAGTTCTTCCTCACATGGTGATGGAACTTCCTGTGTTTCATCTTGTACTCATTACCCCTTGCCCTGTCACTGGCCACCACCTAGAAGAGTGGATTCCTCTTTTCCTAGAAGAGAATTCCCAAGGCTCTCTGGATTTTTCAATTGAATTAAGAGTCTTTTTAATGAAATAATAGCAAAAGTAAGTATGACTTGAGTCACTCAAGCTCCACCTAAATGTACATATATAAAAGGTGAACTAAGGAAAGAAGTTAGAGGGAAGACTCCATCGTAATTTCTGAACTGTTTGATGGCCTGAACCCCTTTTTTCCCATCAGATCAGGATGCCGCCTGAAGAGACTCCTCAAGGCCTTCTCCCATCTTCTTGGGTAAGTGATGACTGCTCATTTGTACATTAGAAGTTAGCTATGAATCTCATATTGTAGTAGAGATTGTACGGACATCCCAAACCTGTAAATGTTGCATCATCCTCACTTCTGAGGATTGACTGGAATGCAAAGGGATTCATCTCTTACTAAATTAGCCCCCTTCAAACTTCAACATAACTTGAGTCTGGACTTCTTTACTTTTGTTCTTGTTCTAGTATCTTCTGTCTTGTGTTGCTTGGGAGATGGATACTGCAGCTGTCCGAAAGCTATCCCTACAGCTGTGCTTAGGACATGTTAAACTTTGGAACTCTCTGCAGTTCCTGACACGTGGACACCCTGACTCCTGGATGGCTGTATGCTTTTCTAGATGGTCAGTTTGCGTTCCCACTTCAGTTTTGGCAAGGGTGGACACAGACTTCTGCAGAGTATTTACCATAATGAGATTCTCGTGGGAGCTTACTGCTGCACACCCTGCCAGCAATAGTTGATGTGGTAACTGCCTCCCCATGTGCTGGTTGCCCATGCTCCCTGGGGGCTGCTCTCCTACCCACAGTGGCGGGGCCATCTTCCCTGACGTCCTCACCTATGCTGCCTCAGGGCTGCCTGAGACYGCAGATCCCTAGCTTGTCCCTTCAGTTCATTTCACAGCTTTGGCTGATTATTTAGCTCCTCTGAGGAAGGTCCCCTGGTTCAAGCCTTCACTCCASATTAGTTCCCTTTGAGGACTCAGAAATCCTGTATGACAGATTTTCTTTCCAATTCTTCATAACTAGAAGAAAAAAATGACCCTTTAGAGCAGAAATATGCTATTGTAAGAATGACAGTTACAGCCCTGTATTGCTAATTTCTTAAAATCTCAAAAGATTTCAAAAATATTTTCTTGTACTTCTTGCCTTAAAAGCTCGTTGTTCCATGCATTCAGGTGTTTCAACTTTTGAGATCAGGCATGCTATTATGACTCTAAAGACCCAGACTCCACTGTCTGCTTTCTCTAAGTGTATCATAATTGAGATAGCAAGGTGATCACTGGCAGTATTAGAAACCAGAACACCTAGCCTGACATCCAAGTGGATTAACAACCTTTACACAAGAGCACCTTTAATCTGTGCCCTGGTGGTGGTCTGTTTTCATTTTATTTCGTTATGACTGCTTTTGTGCAGCAGAAAATGAGGGTAAAGTGAGCTTAATTGAGTCTTTCCAAACTGAGCTAAATTGTGCTCCCTTCATGTTTGCGGAAGCTCAGAAGTTGTTACCATGAGGCTGAAGGAGCCACTGAGCTGTGAAATCTTGATCGTTCATCTGAATTCTACAGACAGTGAGGAGACACTGCTTGTAATGTTGCTTTCCCAATAAATGAAAACTCTTAACTATTTCCCTTCCATACTTTTGGCATCACAATCTCTGTGTTTTAAGAATATACTATTTACAAAGCACTCTCTTTCTCCCTCATCATCTTTTAACTGAGTCATCTATTCCGTGATAGCCACAGGAATCACATTAAAAAAAAAAAAAAAAAAAAAAAAAAAAAAAAAAAAAAAAAAAAAAAAAAAAAAANAAAAAAAAAAGCGCAACAATAACAGCAAAACTCAAGCATTTATATCTTTATATCTGGTTATATGCATCAGAAAGAGGGAGAAAAACAAAATAAAACTGAAAAGCAACAAACACTAGTTCTCTACGAAAGTGGGAAAGTTTTGTCGTCTTTGTCAAAAAATACTATCTTGACCATACTTTAATATCCCTACCCTAAGAGCAGGATAGAAATCATCCATAATGCAGAATGCTAAAATGAGCCTGAACCTGTAAAATATATTGGGTCAGTCCTCTAGCTCCAGCTAAGGTCTCTGTCTTGTTGTCTTTCACCTTATTAATTTGCATGAGGATAGCTCCCCAAGCAGGGGAAATGAAGATTAAGACTGAGACATGCAGTACAGTTAAAGGTATTGGCTTTCTGTCATTTACATTTGCCTTCGCTTACATGGAAAGAGCAATAGGAACTTGCCTAGACAAAACTACAGTTCAATTTTCCCATTAAAAATTAAATGAAGAGACAGGACTCGTTCACTTGCCAATTATTTTTTTTCTGCAGTCTCTGTGGATCAGCTCATCACTTTCCAAAAGGAAATTCTTCTGGTAGCAAAAGTATTTGACTTTCCATTTTTGTCTTGAATAATTTTCCACACATATAAAAGAAATAAAGATTTGCTATTTTTTTATTATACATATCAGTGCCTCCTGGGATCTAATTTAATAAATTAAAATCTTTAGACTAGTAAATCAGTGTTAACTGGCTTCCTGTACTCCCCATTCAGTGATAAAGCAAGGTAATTCTTCCATTATTGTCTAGAAATTTAATTGGAAATTTAAATATACCAAAGTATTTACAAAGAGTTCAAATAATGCTGATGTATTTTTTTTTTTAAAGCAGCAGTAAAATTATAAAAGTTTACAATTTGGCAATCATT